TCAGCTTTCCTGCTCCTCTGATGATGCTTGGCCTGCTGTGTTCATCCAGCTCTACACCTTGTTATCTCCGATTCTCCAGCATCAGCAGTTCTCACTATCTCTGTATCCAATATTTGTCATCTGTTTACTTTTCTAACCCAATGTGAAAAGACATTAAAAAAGAGTGACAAGAATGCTGCTTTTGGAAGCTTTGAACTGAAGAAGCACAGCAGCAGGAAATTGTAGCTCTCCCCAGTTTGACTTGATTTGACACTTAGTTGAAAGAATACATGCATCAACAGGAGAGGCACACATACAAATAATATCTCCCTAATCTCTGTTCATTGCATCCCCTAGCCATTTTCACTTTAGGCAGTAATCTTCACTATCTTGAACTAGAAAGTAATTTCAATGACATAACAAGCTTAGTAGGGACAGGCAAATATTAGTATAAAGGAAGTGCCAGAATAATTATCAGGTAGTTAAGGGACTTGAAGTTCCACAGCAGCAACTTGAAGCTGCCTTGCCATCAATTTTTTTCGATTGTCCTGGCCGATTTCAAAACAAAAAGTCTACAAGGTGGGAGCGAATGTGGTGGTAAGCTCTCAGAGTCTTAAAGTCATAGAGATGTACAGCATGGAAACAGACTCTTTGGTCCAACTTATCCATGCCAACCAGATATCCTAAATTAATCTAGTCCCATTTGCCAGCATTTGGCCCATATCTCTCTCAACCCTTCCTATTCTTGTACCCATCCAGATGCCTTTTAAGTGTTGTAATTTTACCTGCCTCCTCTGGTAGCTCATTCCATACATGCACCACTCTCTGCATGAAAATGTTGCCCCTTAGGTCCCTTTTAAATCTTTCCCCTCTCACCTTCAACCTAATGTCCTCTAGTTGTGGACTCCCCTACCCTGGGGAAAAGACCTCGGCTATTCACCCTATCCTTGTCCCTCATGATTTTTATAAATCTCTGTAACATCACTGCTCAGCCTTCGGCGCTCCAGGGAAAATAAGCCCCAGCCTATTCAGCCTCTCCCTATAGCTTAAACCCTCCAATCCTTACAACATCCTTGGAAATCTTTTCTGAACCCTTTCAAGTTTCACAACATCCTTCCTATAGCAGGAAGACCAGAATTGCACACAGTATTCCAAAAGTGGCCTGACCAATGTCCTGTGGACTCGCAACATGATCTTCCAACTCCTATACTCAATGCACCGACCAATAAAGCAAAGCATACCAAATGCCCTCTTCACTACCCTGCCTACCTGCAACTCCTCTTTCAACAAACTATGAACCTGCACTCCAAGGTCTCTTTGTTCAGCAACTCTCCCCAGGACCTTACCATTAAGTGTATAAGTCCTGCCCTGATTTGTCTTTCCAAAATGCAGCACCTCACATTTATCTCAATTAAACTCCATCTGCCACTCCTCAACCCATTTGCCCATCTGATCAAAGTCCCATTGTATGGTTGGCTCGCTGAGCTGGTTTCTTGCTTTGCAGACGTTTCATTACCATGCTGGGTACCATCCTCAGTGCAGCCTCCGATGAAGCGTTGGTGTGTTTTCACGCCTGGTTTTTAAACTCTGTTTAAAGTTTAAAAACCAGGCGGGAAAACACACAGACGCTTCATCGGAGGCTGCACTGAGGATGTTACCCAGCGTGTTAAGGAAACGTCTGCAAAGCAAGAAACCAGCTCGGCGAGGCAACCAAACTCAACACCCACAACCCGAGCTACAAATCTACTCCAAAACTTTAGAGGAACCTTTTTCTCTGTCCACTACGCCACCAATTCTGGTGTCATCTGCAAACTTACTGTCCATACCTCCTATATTCTATTCCAAATTATTTATATAAATGACAAAAAAGAAATGGACCCAGCACCAGCTCTCAAAGCCTTCCTTTACGAACTAGTTATTTGTTAGAGAGGCTTACCAAGGAAAATTAACTGATTACTTAAAATGTTGTTCTAGTAAAATACTAGAAGCATGAATATTCTATGTAGAGTGTAAGAGTTAATCCAATATAATAGAATTTTTATCTAAAGCAATAATGGATTTAAATGTTAGACTACTCACATTCTTCACTTCTTTTAGTCTATTGTATTCAGCAGCAACAATCTGAAGATAAAGGTGGAAAAACAACATTAGCAAACAGTAATAATTAACTAACTCTATCTCATTGCACAGCTCCAGATCTAGTAAAGACTGACCTCTGGTAGCTTCAGAAGGTGCTGTTCTGAGAAACTATCCTGAAAACATTTGATGAACTCCATAGAGGCCACCTATGCACATCTGACTTTTCCAGTCTACATGTAATTAGAGCTTTTTAGAAAGATATAGCAATAATAATTACTTCCATTATGCACCATTCTATACAGTATATTTTTGTTTGTGGGTCTGTACACCACTCCCCGAGTGGCCCCTTGTCTTTATCATTTCTTATTTCTCTGCAAATTGTTTCCATTTCTTGGGTTCCCTCCACTTAGTTTATTAGCTCAATAGAGAGAAATGACCTAACAGCCAACGTTCCACCATTTCCTGGTTTTGATTGTTATTCCCCCAAAACCTTCTGGAAAGTATGCAATGGCATCAGAGGAGGATGTGATTCCTAAATATCCTCTACCCATAAAGATTCAGTTCCTACTCCATTTCATCCTGCAGCCATGACTCTGGAATGACTTTGTGTTCAATTCTATTCATGCTTTTAGTCTCAGTTTTGTTTTGAATGTTACATGCATTCAGATACAGACCCTTTAGTTTTATCCTTTCACTGTTGTAAATTCTAGTCTTATCTGTTTATTCTTTCTCATATTTCTCTTTGGCATTAACTCTTAAGTTTTCTTTTGGTGTCTCTGACAAGGCTGCATTTATTGCCTATTCCTATTTCCTTGTCCTTCTAGATAGAAGGGGTCATAGGTTTGGAAGGTATAGAAGAAGCCTTGGTGAATTTCTGCAGTGCATTTTGTAGATGGTACACACTGCTCGTACTGAACATTGGTGGTGGAAGGAGTGGATGTTTGTGGATGTGGTGCCAATCGAGCAGGCTGTTTTGTTCTTAATGGTGTCAAGCTTCTTAAAATGTTGTTGCAGCTGCACTCATCCAGGCAAGTGGGAAATATTCCATCACAACACTTACTTGGGCCTTGGAGGTAATGGACAGGAAAGGGACAATGTATATTTACATTAGTGTGCTGTGTCATGGAGTGACTTCAACATGTTAAACTCCTGCTCAAGTCCAAGTTTCATGAAAATGGTTTCATTTATAAGAATTCTCTGGATCCCCCAATGGTTTATGTAACAAAGACAGTACCATAACAAGTTTGATCCTCTATTTTAGTGTGATACTCAGTTTCAGATGGGCCAACAACAGGGGTGCTACAATTGATTGCAGCATCTCAAATTTGCAAAGGAGTTCAGTGGGGGAGAAAGTAAAAATCAGGTTCCCCATCCTGGAAAGTATGCATTGAAATCAGGGGAGGATGGGATTGAACTTGATTGTGACTTAGCCCCCCGCTCCCATGTTCATCATTGAACCACATGGATGAAGAATAGCCACTTGAGCACCTCATGTTCATGAATCCCAATAAATTTGCATCTTCTAGGCAACTTCTATTTCCATAGAAAGTCCTTCTGTTAATATACCACTGAGTTTCCCTCTTACAAAGAGCTAAGCAATTAAATACAAATGAGGAAAGGCAAGTGATCTCCTCTAGTGCAAGTTAAAATACCACCAACATTTAATGTCAAGTGTGGAAAAACCTAAGTCAAACCATGCAAACAGCACTTTTTTTTATTAAAAAGCTTGTGTATATTGTGAGGTGTGCCTTAATTTGATGCTTCTATAAAGTGAGCCCTACAAGCCTTTTCTCAAGACTCAGTTTAAAAAGTTACTCATACTTTTAGCTGATCGTGGTACATAGCAAAAGTTTGCTCTCAAGCACAACTGGAATTGACTAGAAAATATACTACTCCTTTGTTGTACACTACAACAGCAGGCATACTTAAGATTATAAAGACTGAGGCTGAAGGTCATAGCACAAATCATCCAAACAGCAGCTAAAAAAGTGCATTAGTACTGAACAGGTTACACACTAGTCTGTCAGTCAGAAGATGGAGTGCCTTCTGAGGGAACGGACACATCAACTTCCTTAAATTTAGCAGTACCACACTAATTAAAAAAAAGAGAATTTCTTTCAAGTACCTCTGGATATTTTTCAATGCCGCAGCACAGATTGAAGACATACCTGGTACTGCTCATCATCCTCAGTCTCGTCAATCTCCTTGTCCAACTGGGAAAACATTTTGTTAATTTCATCAATTTCAGCCTGTAGACGTTTGTACTGCTGATGATCATTGTCAAACTCCCTCTTGTAATCTTGTCTCTGTTGATCTGAAGAGATAGGTGGGTATTGACTGCAAATAAAGTTCAATATTTATTAATACAACTGTTTCATGGGTATCTGGAATGAAGATAAACTCTTTCACTGGCAAAATGGCCTCAAAAAAATTTTTTTTTTTTTTAAAAAAAACCTTTCCAAATCGTCCTCATCTAATTCATCACAGGATTCTGCACCAGTTGTGTAGTCTGTGTCACAGTCCTCATTCTCTGGTCTTTTTGCTCTTCCTGGCCTCCTCTTCCTAGGTGGCCTCCTTTGTGATGGTTTACTTTCATCAGACTCTCTGCTAGATGAATGTTGACCTGGCTTCTCACGCATGAGTGGAACTGAAACTTCAGGGACACTGCAGGAAAAGATGTAAAATAGACCAGTGAAACTTTATGCCAGCCAATATTTTTGTCCTTGAACAGATTGGGTTGCAGCACTCAACATGCTATGTTATTTGGAATCTATGGAGATTGATGACAAAATGATCTCTGCGTAAAACTTGTTCTGAATTAGATTCACCAGACTCTAAATGTTAACTATGTTTATTTTGTCACAGCTGCCGCTAGACCTGCTGAGGTTTTCCAACACTTGCTGTTTTTATTTTGTATGATATGCTGCCTTCCGGAAAACAAATGACTCAAAGGGATAATAATTCTATATCCATACTGAGACATCAAGACCATACTAGTAAACTGTACTACAATATCAGTTGTATGCAAGAGATGGTGAAAGAAAGAAAAATGACTGAGCGATGATATTTACAAAGTTCTAAGGAACAGTTTATTAATGTGTTGCCAGGATATATATGATACACAAGTATATAATTTAGCAACACCAGGACTCGAGAGAAGTGGATTAGATCATCTTGTTTATACTTCTGAGCATTTCAAGTTACAAACAAGCCAGTGAAAATATGATGTAAAAAGAATGGACAAAAATTACAGACAGTGCATTGTAAAACTAACTAAGGAAACTGAAACAATCTGTACTTACTGAGTTGGTCGAACATTATCAGACCATGTCCTGTTTTCTCCATTGGGCTCATAGTTTGGTCCATTCAGTGAGCCATTAGGTTTGTACGGGTATCCCTCTTCTACTAATTCTTCAGGAACCCCAGACACATTATTCACCTTTGATGGAGAGGAAAATAACATCAAAGTTAAACAGATACTATATTTATATTTATAGAACATTTAAGCTCTTTTATATTTAGTATTTCCTTGATCACAACTTATTTTTGATAGATTCAACCTGGCACCACTACTGCATTGCTGGACATCCCAGCACCTATAGTGGCCTGCCATTCGTGACTGCCCAGGTTAGAAAAAAAAGCAAAAAGTGATTATTAATTCTCATCTGTACTCAAACCACAATATTATTCAGTGGGCCAGGAATTAAATATGCTTTCTTTTAAAATGGTAGACACATCTTGTGTTTGCTCTGGAATGCAACTCATCCTCTTTATCCTCTACTTTTACAAAATAGTGCTCCATTGAACTGAAGAACTGGGATAATTTAACAGATCTTTATATACAAACAGACAGTCTCCAGGTTGCGAATGGGTTTTGTTCCTAAGACCATTTGCAAGTTACTTGTATGTAAGTTGGAACATAATGCAGGACAATACAAAATACAAATAGGAAACATCATGTATTGGGATCTTTAAAATTACACCCTTGTATGGGATCGTGTTCGTAAGTACAAGTGTCCATAAATCAGGGAACCCCTGTATAAACATGCACCCATACACCATCTTCTTACACAGTTCCTTAGAATCAGGGATGACCTGTTTCCACTCTGGTTCAATGGACCCAGAGATGGTCAAAAAGTGCAATGTACAGACTCTATCACCTGTGGGGCTAGGTGACGTTTGAAAGTTTGGGCAGATAGGTTGTTCAGAGGTTTGTGCACTCCCTCCAAAATCTGTGGTGTCCTCCTTCTGCACATTCCCAACCAGTCTCTCAACCTATTGTGTTCAGTTCTGGTCACCTCATTACAGGAAGGATGTGGAAGCTTTAGAGAGGGCGCAGAGGAGATTTACCAGGATGCTGCCTGGAATGGAGGGCAGGTCTTATGAAGAAAGGTTGAGGGAGCTAGGGTTTTTCCTCATTGGGGCGAAGAAGAATGAGAGGTGACGATAGAGCTGTACAAGATGATGAGAGGCATAGATGGAGTGGATAGCCAGAGGCTTTTTCTCAGGGCAGAAATGACCACTACGAGTGGGCATAATTTTAAGATGATTGGAGGAAAGTGTAGAGGGGATGTCAGAGGTAGGTTCTTTACACAGAAAGTGGTGGGTGTGTGGAATGCACTGCCAGCGGTGGTAGTGGAGTCAGATACATTAGGGACATTTAAGCGACTCTTGGATAGGCACATGGATGATAGTAAAATGTAGGGTATGCAGGGTAGTTTGATCTTAGAGTAGGCACTTAGGCACAACCTCGTGGGCCGAAGGGCCTGTACTGTTCTATGTTCTATTTGGTATCTTGCTGGCTGAGCTTTCTCCATTTTGGTCACAAACCAGTCTCCCATCAGTCAGTAGGTATGCTCAATCTTTTTAAAGAAATGTTTTAAGGTCACCAGAAAGTACTTCACAACAGAATAGCTGCTTTGGAAGTCTAGTTTCAGATATCCAATTTACATGTCTTGGCTAGCAGAGCTGGTGATGAATGATTAATATCTCCATGGTGTGCAAGTTGTTTTGGGAGAGGTTGTTGCAACTGAACTGCCTTTGAGTGCTTTGAGGTACCTGTTACAGGAGTATAAAGTAGTGAGGCAGTCACTACTGCCCACTGAACCATGATCTTATATGTCTAGTCATTAAATACTGTTTTCTGCACTCAACAACAGTTGAGATGTCACACTGGATGAATTCCCTCATTTTTACCTGCTTTTGTCAAAAGGCAACACCCAAACTATGGAATATGGTCCACATTTTCCAACATATTGTTGATGAAGAATTGGTGTGGAAGCTGATTGAAAGGTGATCTTAGCTGTTCAGATAGGCTTTGTCCAAACTTTGAAGAAGCTGTTGAATTTTTCTGAAGGGTCTAGGCCCGAAACGTCAGCCTTCCTGCTCCTATGATGCTGCTTGGCCTGCTGTGCTCATCCAGCTCTACACCTTGTTGTCTCGACAATGATTTGGAATTCAGTTTTTGAGTGCCCATATGCACAAAGGACATCTGCATACTGATGCTCTCCAACTGGGTTTGGTGTGAGATTGGAGGCAAGATAACAATTATAGCAAGAAAATCAGAAAAGTCGATTGGTGCAATGACAACCTTTTGTCACCCCACTTTTCACTGAGGTAAGATTTGTGGTGATCCATTAATGAGCATTACAGATTGGATAGCATGGTTGAGTAGGGGGTGGCAGATAGTGACAAATTTGAGAGCACCCAAATTTGAGGAGGATACTGCACAAGCCTTTACAGTTTAGAATTAACAGCTTTTGCGGTCAAAAAGATGGCATTTACAGCAGTTCCTTGCACTTTATTCTCGAATAGTGAATAAAAATTGTTGACATGAGCAGCATAGATACATTTAACAGGGAGCCAGGTAATTACATCAGTGAAAAATTAGCAATAAATACTGTATGTTGGTTGGAATTAGATGAAGGAGGATGGGCAGGGGGGAATTCCATATGGAACATCAGCACTGAGGCAGACCACCTAGGCTGAGTGACTGTCCGTGTGCCGGAAATCTAAAGTAACATAAGCAACTCAGAAATGTGACCTTTTTGAGACGCACAAATGTGTACATGCATACACAACTGAAGCGGTTGATGGGCTTCAGAACATTCTACAATCCTAATTTAAAGCCAACCAACAGTTGGGAATCCTCTGGTTCCCTTTCTTCCAAAAGAATATACTATTAAATCACGTTGGAAGGCCAACTCCATTGTACAGGATACTAGAGGTTACACTTTAAGATATAGGTGCAGAATTCAGCCATTTGGCCCATGAAGTCTGCTCTGCCATTCATTCATGGCTGATATGTCTCAACTCCATTCTCCTGTCCTTTCCCCATAACACTTGATCCCCTTACTAATCAAGAACCTATTTAAAGATACTCAATGACTTGGCCTCTACAGCCTTCTGCAACAAGGTGTTCCACAGTGTCACCACCATCTGGCTGATGAAATTCCTCTTCATCTCAGTTCTAACGTGTTGTGCCTTCACTCTGAGTTTGTGCTATTGGGTCCTAGTCTCTCCCACTAATAGAAACATCTTCTCCATATCCACACTATCCTAGCCTCTTAGTATTCTGTACGTTTCAATAAGATTCCTCCTTGTCCATCTAAAGTCCATTGAGTACAGACACACAGTCCTCAACCGTTCCTCATACGACAAGCTCTTCGCCCCCAGGATCATTCTAAGCCTCTTCCGGATTCCATCCAACGTCAGCACATCCTTCTTTAGATACGGGTTGAAAAATGTGGAGAGGTAATTCAGAACTAGTGGTCAGGTGACACCAAGCTCTTTTTCCACACCATCATGTCAGAGATTAGAATTTCAGTAATGTGAACTGCAAGTACAATTGCTTGGGGCAGTGCCACGTAAATGTAACCCTTCTTTTCCGGTTGAGGGGCTGGGGGTGCACAAACACAATGGAGAGAAGGAGTAAACGGAATGCGAATTGCATTTTAATTCCTCCTTCCAATAGTTTAGAGTGCTTTGTGGCTTTTAATTCCGAAATCATTTTCTTCAAGGATTCATCCATAATTAAAGTTTCAACAGTATACAAACATAACATGAAACTCATACATTATACCCATGTGTTTTTGTAATCTACAGCACAGATGTCTTATAAATTACAGGCCTCTTCTCTTTCAGGACTGCTAAGCTTGGTGTACTTACCTACGAAAAGATACAGCAGCCACAGAGAAAATGCATCAAGTGTCTACCAAACTAAATTAAAACCGAAAGAGCTGTGGATGCTGTAGATCAGAAACAAAAACAGAAGTTGCTGGAAGGGTTCTGAGGGAGGGTCACCGGACTAAAACATTGACTCTGATTGCTCTTCACAGGTGCCGCCAGATCTGCTAAGCTTTTCCAGCAACTTCTGTTTCTGCCAAACTAATTTCTGGGATGGAAAGATTCTCTCTATCAGATAGACAGGGTTTTCATTCTGTGAAGCTTAGGAAAATGAGAAATGACTTGTTTTTATTCTTTCATGGGTTGTGAGCATCAGGTGTTCCCTTAAAGGTGAATGGTTGCATAGCTGCTCCGAGGTTCTGCACACACCAGTGTGATCAGTGTGCCAGTGTGTTGACTTCTGGTTTCGGAAGTCGCTGCATGCACAGACTTTGGAGGTCCACAGACAGAAAAGAAAAAATTAGGAGAAAAAAATTTGTCGGCATCACTGACAAAGCCAGCAGTTATTGACCATCTTCAATTGATTTGCTAGATCATTTCAGAGGGCAGTTAAGACACTGCTATGGGATGGAGTCACAGTTAGACCAGACCAGGTGAGGAGAAAAGATCTTTCTCTCAAGGGCATTACATACATACAATGTTTTACAGGCAATGAAATGCTTTAAATATAGTTACCACTGTAATACTGGAAACACCAAAGTCAATTCACATACTGCAAGTGCCCCAAAACACCAATAATGAACATATAATCTCTAGGAATGTAGATTGAGAGATAAATATTGGAAAGGACACCAGGAATAAATTCAATTTAGAGTGATTACAGAATACTACACCTGAAAATACAAACATATGAAATAGGAGCAAAAGTCAGCCATCTTGCTGTTCAAGCCCGCTGCACCATTTAATAAAATCACAGCTCATCAGTGTTACAAATTCCATATTCCCATCTACCCACAATAGTCTTGGCAATGCTTGCTGAAGAAAAATCTTAAAAATATTTAATGATTCTGCTTCCACTGCTTTCCACGCCTGACAGCTCTAAAGTTATACAATCTTTAGAAACAAAAACTTCTCCTTATTGCTATCCTATAAAGCCGACCCCCTAATTTTAAAACACTGCCCCAAGCACTGGACAGATCCACCACAGGAAATACTCTTTCACATGTCCACCTTGGTAAAACCACTCAGGATCTCATGTACTCCAAGTTTCTCCTTGCCCTTCTAAACTCCAGTGGAAACAAGCCTAGCCTGTCC